GTTTTTGTTTATTTTCAGTGATTGAAGTGTCACTTTTTGAAGAGCTCTCACTCCAGTGCTGGTGAGATCTCTCTTAAAAAGGGCGAATCTCAAAAATGTTCTACTTTCTCATCATTTTCTGTAATCTAAAATTTGAAAATTCAAACGTCAAAGTTTATCTCTTCTATTTATAGTAAATGCGAGCCAAAAAAACCATACCCTGTTAGATCATTGCAGTTCCCCTCTTTAGAACCAACACATGCTTCAGATTACTATACATCTTTCTATACATGTGAAAGCTGAATTGGTAGGGAACTATTATTTTCTGAAGTTTCTGAAAACTTACCCTGAGTAGTTGTTTGACCTACCCCAAATAAAATTCATGCAACAGGTACACGATCTAGGCTGAAATTTGTTATTTTTATCACAACTCAAAATTCGTATATGGTAGGAGACTAGGGTTTAGTGAACGTTTAAGTAACTATGAACACCGAAAGATGTTGTATTGAGGGCTTAATGGTGGAAAAAAGCTTGCGATTCGTTGACACTTAATATTTCTACTATTTTCTAAAAACGCTGAAGAGCAATCTTCTCTTACAGGTTGGATTAAGAAAATTTACGACTCCAAAAAGTATAGTTCTTTCTTTAAAGCAGGGTGATATAAATAGTATCGCTGTTGATTTCCAACAACTTTCGTCTATGAATTAAACAGCTAAAAAATAAAAGTGTTGGGCAAAAAAAAAAGCGGGAGACTTTTGCCTATCACATTTACATCTGCTCAGTGTTCATCAAAATTCACGAGTAGCTCTCAATGATCGATCTCTCTGTGTCTCTCAACATCAGGAATGTTATGGTTTAAAGCGACATTTATGCGTTATCTGCATGTGAAGTGAAGCCTGAAAAAAAAGACTTCGGAGATTTCACAATACGGTTAGCATCGTTGCAGAACATTCTTTTTATCGCTCTAATTCCTCATCATCTGTTGTGCGCGCTATTCCTTCTTGCCAAAACATTTTATCCCATAAATTTTAGGAAATGATCGATGAAGACGGCGAAATCACAGATGAAGACACTGTTGAACCCGAGTACCAAGGGCGATTAGAATCCACAGAGAGTTCCACAAAAGACGAGGAGAAGCGCGATCCGTGAGTTTCAAGCCTATCCTTTGCCAAGAACTAAACCAAGGTTTTTCTATTCAGAAGGATGCCTCCACACATGAACGCTCGCGACACAGCGAATTGGCAGTCGTTGACGCAGTTGCGACATTGGCTGAATGAGCTGGAACGCGATGCTAGTCTTACTGTAGATTTAGCTGATACAGCGGCTATCAAGGAGATGACCAACACAGTACAGGTGGAGTGAAAAACAAATAAAGTTTAACTCTTGTCTTCTTGTCATGAAATTACTGCGCTAAAAAGTCTTATCGGACAGCTTAATATCGTGCCACAGATATGAATTAAACCATTCATTTTGTAGAAAACAAATTTCGAGATTTTTTATCCAAAGTCTTTTCCCTTTTCTATGACGGGGCTAACTTATCGGCCTATTTCTCGGGACTATCTTGGGAAATAAGAACTGCTAAAACAGAATAAGACGCTAGAGTAAAACTGCAAAGATACCAGAAGTTACCAGATAGAAATTATGCCTAATAAGTTTGAAGCTTAGCGGTTGGCTGCCTTCAGCTCAATGATGCAACGCCTTTCTGGCTCAGTAGCCCGTGCTCCTTTCCTGGGTATCCTAGCAAACCTGAATTGCTATCGAGAAATGATCTCAAGCATATTTGATGACTTTCTGTAACATCTATACATAAACAATTAAAATTTTAGCAAGGTTTCAAATGCTCCTTTGTTGTAATTTCCTTTCTTGGGATTAGATTGGATGCTACAATTTCAACAACTTATATAGTGTTATATGCCACGAATTGCTTTACCTTCAGGGCATCATGGATCACATTAGGATGAAAATCATGGATGTCGTCGGAATTCAGGACGCCAGCGCTGCACCTATGGTGAAACTTAAAGCGAGAGAATTGGTAAGTAAGAGGCTTCTGTAGCGCTCAAACAGTTTTTTTTTGCACCAGAATCGTTTTTTTTCT